GGACATGTTCCTCTTACAAAGTAAAAAATAATCATATTCATTCAAAATGTGTATCTCATTGAAGATTTTATTAGAACCTGTGAAAAGGCATTCACATTACTAGGCAAAGTTATATGAATTATGTTAAAACAAAAATCTCTCTCATTTTATGCAACTGCTATATGAAAATGGAACAAACTACCACATGCAATTAAATCTAGAAATAGTTTCTGAATGTCTAAATGCCGAATTAAATTGCATTTAGCAACCAAGCCCAGTTCACTTGCCAACCATTAAATTACATCAACATTTTGTGCATAATGAAATTTTTAAGCAGGTACAATATATTTTCATACACACACATCTGATGAAACCCCATCAATTGGGATAAAAAAATATTTACAATTAGTATCACAAAATGATACAAACTCATCAGACTTTCTTGTATTTAATAACTATAGCTAATTGAATATATTTGATATATTTGTGGGACTCCCAACAGAAACAAACATTAATCATTTAGGGGAATCATTCGTTCAGTTTTATTTTATAATTTATGTAAATTACGGTTCATTACTGTACCTCCACCAAGGAGGATATGTATTCACCCATGTGTGTGTCTGTCTGTAGCAAGATTACACAAAAACTAAGGAATAGACCATCATAAAATTAAGTGGAGTTGTACATAATAATCTCAAAGAAAGAGATGATTGAACTTTTGGGAAGAAAATGTCAAGAACAAGGTCAAGGTCACAGAAATTTAATTTTTTTTCCCCTTTTTTTTACCCTCAAGCATAACAGAAAATAATGGAATTGCCTATCATACATGGCCCGCGTATTGTCGGTATTCAGGAACAGGGCCAAAAAAAATAGAATCACCCATCATACACAGCTTGCGTATTGTTCGGAACTCCATATGAAATCCGCGCATCAACATTTGTCAGCAAATTTAAAACAAAACTCAAAATGCATCTTTTCTTTTGACTGTTTACAGAACTGGGAATTCAAAGCGCTTTGAAACAAACTGTCTATTACGCTATAAAAATGTTATTTATTATTATTATTATTACTATTATTATTATTATTATTCCGGACAGGACGGAGGTAAGCACTCTATGAAATGACTGCTTTAGTTAACAGAGAAAATATACTAACCGATAGCACCCTTTGTGTTTTTGTCGTTAAGCACACCAAAAGCAATTGAAGGCAAAATACAAGCAAAATAAAGGAAGATTGTTGCTGCAATCATCTTCTGCAGTGTCTTATGGCCCACAAAGCCATCCTTGAAATCCGACCAATAGTACGGCAGACGTCGTGTAATATCACTCCGCAAACCGCGTCCAACATACCAGTTTGGAAACTAAAAGATACAATTCGATTCATATTCAACAAATTATATAAGAAATCGGTAGTAAACGGGGGCGGTGAATACGTCGATAATAAAAATACAGATTTCCTAATTAAAGACCACTCCAACATACTAGTTTGGAAACGAAAAGATACAATTGGTTTTGGTTCAGTTAGGTTTCAAGTTTTCTTTGAGTTTAGGTTCATGGTTTTATTTTATTTTTTTTGTACGTTTCCTTTCATTATTGTCAAATGCATCAAGGTTGGTTTCAATGGGAGATGCTATACAAATCGCATATTATTATTATTATTTAATTAGATTCATATTTAAGAAATTATATATGGAATTAATAGTAAATTGTGGCGGCAAAACATTGGTAATAAAAATACAGGTCTCCCTCTAATTAAGGACCTCTCCAATAAAAGACCACCTCCAATTAAAGACCACTTTTCTATGGTCCCAATTCAACAAATGTCTTTTATTTTTATTATTCTAATTAGAGACCAATGCTGATGAAGTCCACAGGGATCCCGGCTCCAAAAGTAGTCTTTAATTGGAGGGAAGACCTGTACATGAAAGATACACTGTTGGTGGTGAAATCTTTATAGTACCTCAAAACGCAATTAAAGAAATTGATTGCTCACTAAGGAATAAATAGTAGATTGAAACTGAAACAAATTAATGTTGATATCATAAAGGTTATAGCATGCGAAACAAGCATGTGTCACGGATAAGACATAATTCTGTATCTTACAAAAATAAGCAGGGACTTTAATAGCGTTTAATAATGAAGCTTCTATGATAAAGCAAACATTTACTGTTTTTATTAACTTTGGATTACAAAGTTCAATGGAAAAACCATTAAGTTTAATAGGATAACATTAAATTACATTATTTAAGCCAAAAAATAAGGGTACACTTACACTTGCAGCTAATAAAGTTATTTGATCATTAAGTTTAAATAAGTAATAAATTCTCTTGAATTATTAAAGTGTTAATATTTAATAAAGGTTGCAGCATGCAAATCAAACATGTCTTATAGATACAAACTAATAATATCTCTATATAAAAATACAAGGAATTAAAAAATAAGCAATACTCTTTAATAATGAATCTTCTATGACAAAATAAACATTTGTGAGGCCTCACCACAAAATAAGTCTCATGGTTAGAAAATCAAAAATTGAGTTTATATTACATTTGGATAGATTACATTAATTTTGCTTTTTAATGGCTTCCCTAAGATAAGTAGATCCAGAAATGTAAGCATAAATTTAGGTGTATGAGAAACTCATTTTGAGAAAATCGGCCTAAAAGAGAACTATTCTGTAAAAATAATAGGACTAGAATTACATAACATGCGCAGAGGACACTGTTTTAGTAAGAAAATTCACTTAAAATGTATACAATCATAAAATATTAGTATCAAGTTATTTAAAAACATTAAAAAACATTAAAATAAAAATGTGAAACAAATTTTGACTTTGACCTATTTTGGAAAATCTCAATATGATTTCACCAACGATGCGTCTCACTTTGTGGCAAGACCGCACATTCAATGTTTTTTTAGCTTTGACTTATGAAGTTCCATAGAAAAACAATTAAGTAATTCCATAGAAAAACAATTAAAAATAAATAAATAATAAATTCTCTTGAATTAATAAGGTTAATATTATGAAGGTTGTGCCATGCAAAACAAGTTGTGTGTCATGGAGAAGACATATCTCATACAAAAATACAAATTTAAAAAAAAGCAAGAGATTCAATATTATAATGAAGCATCTATCATAAAACGACCATTTAATGTTTTTTAGCTTTGATTTACCAAGTTTCATTGAAAAACAATTAAGTTGAATTAAATAATAAATTCTTTTGAATTAATAAGGTTAATGTTATAAAGGTTGTGCCATGCAAAACAAACCATGTGAAATGGATAATGACTTATCTCTTACAAAAATACAAATTAAAAAAATAAGCAGGCGATTCAATATTATAATGAAGCCTCTAACATGAAACAATATTTTAAATGTTTTTTCAGCTTCGATTTATGAATTTCTACAGAAAACAAGTTTAAATAAATAGTAAATTTTCTGGAATTAATAAGATGAATATTATAAAGCTTGTGCCATGCAAACCAAGCCATGTGTCATAAATTGTAATAAAACATGTAGCAAACCATAGGATTATTATATCAACTCACATTGTCTGGTTCATCGAATGAGGTCGTTGACCTGAGTCTAGAGCGTGAGGGTATTCTATGAATGTTGCGCAAGTCTTTACAACTTGCTAGTAACACCTGGTGGAACTCATCCTCTATTATATAACAATAGTTAAAAATGCATATCAACAACACTGAAATACATGGATACTGACAGATAACCATCTTGCCAGACAGTTGATAAATATGTGGATTTTAACAGAACTTTCGGAAATAAATTGGATAATCCAGTGCAGCCTACAGTATCTGTAAAAATACTTACAGATATACTGCCTGTTTTTGAGCTCAAAACTTACACAATAAGATTCAATAATATAAAGTGCTTAACTTGTGTATTTAACTATGTTGCTATTAGCATTATAACAAAGAGATAAATAATACAAATGCACTGTTCTATTTACAGTGTTATGCAGAAAACCTAATTTGAATAACTTAATAAAATTCAATCATTAATTATTTAGGTCATATATTTAATTATGTTATTATTAGGATTTTATATTCCATGTTGTGGCAAAATGGCTAAGTTGTAGCAAAAATTGAAATTAAAGTTATTGGTATTTTCAGATACCCGAGTATGTGATCTTTAAAATGAGGGGTCATTCATTGAAATTAGACATTTCAAGTCTTAGTTATTGGAAAGTGAAAGTACAGTACTCTTAGAATCAAGATAATGATTTTGAGTAATTGCCTTTCAAAGTTATTTGTACATACATTGTTTAATAGAATGAACTATCAAAATAACGTTAAATAAACAACTTGTTGACCACTTCGAGAACTAATACTTTCATACATGGTTAACAAGACATTACTGCTGATCTATAGTGAATGGAGATCCCATATTTTATAGCTCATTTACTCAATACTCCTGCACATTGATCCCGGGATGTTTGGCAACCCGGGTTGTACGTTTTTACGTTTACACCAACCACAACTCAGGAGTTTCCAGCACGGGTATTGCAAAATCCCAGGTTGTGTCCGGAGTTTTGCTGGCAGTGTAAAAGGGGTACATTATTGCTATTAATGCATCCTTTTGAATTGTTAATAAAATGTATGCAAATACTACTAATAATAACATTTTGTCTTTATCTAGCCTCTACATCATACCATATTTTAAGAAGAAACCCAGATAATTTTAATTTTAGATTTTGTTAAATTATAAGCAGAGAGTAGCTGAAGAGAATTTGCTAGGTTGCTATAACTAGAAATTAATTGCTGCAAAAAAATGTACAGTATGACATGACTCGAATTAACAAATATTTCTATCATTCTTTTATATGGTCATCATATTGAATCAAATTATTAATTCACTAATTCAATAAAAGTAATAATTCAATGAATTCAATAACATTGAAAATTTAATAAATTTATAATTTAATAAATTAATAATTCAATAAAATTGATAATTCAATGAATTCAATAAAATTGATAATTCAATTCAATAAAATCAATAATTCAATAAATTCAATAAAATTGACAATTCAATGCTATAAAATCAATAATTCAATAAAATTGATAATTCGATGAATTCCATAAAATTAATAATTTATTAATTGAATGAATTAAATAAAATTAATAATTCAATGAATTAATAAAATAATTCAATTATATGTACTGCAATGTTCATAAAGATGTCGAATGCATCTATTGCATAATGTTCACATATCAATTTAAATACTGCAATTGATACAATCACATTGGATTTATTGTAACGTTCATGACAAGTCCAAATTTGGTGATGTGTCTTAACTAGGTTGATTTAGAAAGTTCACATTAAAAAGGTTAATGATCAAATGGCATATAACCTGCAGCGAGTAAAACAGATTTCGATACCATGACATTTCTATTCTGTATAATGTTAACATTTCTGATGCAAACACACTTTTTTAGATGAAAACCATTCCCAGAAAAAAATTGTTTGTCTTCTGTTTTTAGTCAGTCAATAAATAAAACTCAAAAAAGCTTTAAAAATAGCTTATCCAAGGAAAGGAGAAAATCACTCAAAACTCTCAAATATTCAGTTGTGTCCATTTTGTGTATATTTTTTGTATGCGACTCTTGCTCATATGAGAGATTTGTGTATCTAAAGAGCAATTGAAAATATTAGCCTACATGAAAGAATAGCTACGTAAATGAATTATTCAATAACTGATTGAACATAGGAACATATGTGAATTGATTAATGACTGACCAGATGAATATATGAATGGATAATGTAGGTAAATAACATTAATGAATAGATGGAAATAAAAAAATGTCTTAAATTATTAAATGAATAGGTGAATTATGAGTAAATGAATGAACACAACAGATGATCCGATAACTGAACAGATGATCCGACTGAATAAATGAATGAATGAATAATGAATGAATGAATGAATGAATGAATGAATGGATGATTAAATAAATTGATAGATGGATGGAATGAATAAATAAATAAATAAATGGATGGAATGAATGAATAAACAAATGTATGGAATGAATAAATGAACGAACGAATGAACACACTTGTACAAGCCTAGCTCGTTTATTAGGCTGCCCACCATTCTTGATTTTTTGTTTCATATTATCTTCAATATTAATTGGTGAAATAAATACTGATCTGAACTGATAAATAAATGAAAAAAATCATAAACTTAAATGTAGATTATCATGTGTATGTTTGCTCTTTGAAAGGATGTATTCCATAAGACAATGACTAAGTTTGCTATTGGCAATTTACTTTTAACCATATTAATTGAGGGTGACCCTTCAAAAGTAGGCTAATATTCAGGGGCTCTCTTAAATAATAATAATAATAATAATAATAATAAATAAAAAAATAAATAAATAAATACAGTAATAATAATGTGTCATTAAAAGGCATAGGAAATGGAAATGTGTTTAGTGGTGAGGCAAAAATTCTGTGCTATCACACGATTTAAACCCATTAATAAATAAAAAAAATAATAATAATAAATTAATAATAAATAAAATATAATAAATAAATAATAACAATTATTAAATAATGTAATGCTTTATAAACTAAGTCCCATTACAAGGCTTAGGGAATGGAGATGTGTTTAGTGATGAGAAAAAAATCCTCTGCTATCACATGATTTGAACCCATTATTAAATAAAACAAAAATTTAAAATAATAAATAAATAAATAAATAAATAACAAATAAATAGTAATTAATAAATAATGTGATGCTTTATAAACTAAATCCCATTACAAGGCTTGGGAATGGAAATGTGTTTACTTGTGAGAAAAAAATCCTGTGCTATCTTAAGATTTGAACCCAGGACCCTGGGATTTGGAAGGCAAGCATACCTGTTTTCACATCTAGAAGTTGCTGCCTGTAATCGATGTCTGCAAATATTGTTGAGAACGTTCTACCTGTCTCAAGCGCATTCTTTGTTCCTTTTTCTTTTAACGGTGACAGAATCAAAATGACAAAGTGGATTTCCTGACTGTTCGTGCCCATGTTGGCCGCATGCTTTAATCTTGCAATACCAATGTGACGACGTTGAAGGGATGGAAGGCTGCATCTGTAAAAAAAAAAAAAAGGATGGGGATTATTAGTGTACAAAAGCAGAGGCTAATAATAAAAAAGATAATTCTCAACAACTTTATGCAATTAAGTATTTCATTCATCGTTGCAAATGTTTGTCTGAAATCAGACGATTGTATGTTGTTATTGATACTGTTGAACTTTGTAGGGTCATTATTGATATTGTAGGTTTGTGTATCCTATTTTTCGCAGACACTCCGATACTTGAGAAAAAAGATACGAAAGAACAAGGAAAGACTTTGACAGGAAAGGGAAATGGGACTACAATATTGTGTTAACAATAGGTTCGACATGTACCATTTCATACCTACCAAATGCTTTGGTATTACGGCAGTAATCTATATCATATCTTATCATTTATTTCGCCAAATGTAAAAAAAAAAGTCTATGTGGCAGGAATTCCCAAACGTAAGAAGACTTGCAACAAACAAAAGCACAAACTGCTTAATAATAATTCCTTTTTTTTTTAATCATTAAATTTAATTCATTTTTATATCTCACTATGTATTGTATTTAAAAACAAATACAGTAGAACTAACAACTTTCATATCTCAAATAATAATTATTAGCTTTTGGTATTGTTATACAATGAAATATAATAATCCTGTATTTGTTATTCAGAGTCTGAATAGATTGCGTACAATGACATGACATTGATTTTTTACTGTTCTTTCCAAAAATGAAGCTAAATACAAGTAATTTATTATATTCCAACCATGCTAGAAGCATACTTTATATCTGGTATGTGCAGTATCATGTATTGTATAACGTAGCACCTACATGCTGTGACATTAAGTATATTTTGAGAATAGAAATAGTTTGTGTTTCTAGGACAATTGTGGTACACTTCACCTCATTTAGGCAGCATCAATTTGTCTACAAATGTCTTCTTTTTAAAACCTCCCTAAAGTCTCATTTGCTCATCTTGCTATCTAAATTTATCTAATAAAAATTCTGTTTTCTGAACCAAATTTGACATCCATGAATCAGACTAAGACGACTAATATACAACACATCAGAACAATTTAATTCTAACAAAAATACTGCAGTAATTTTACTAGGTCTGTGTTACTATAATTGTATGTTCGGTTCAAACACACGGAGAACAATGACTAAGAATATTTATCCAATATTTCTGGTTTAAAAAAGGCTTAGAGGACAGCTGTTTGCGTAGTCTATTAGCCTGAATGACGTGATAAAATAATCAAATTGTAGTTTTACCAACGATTCAACAAGAACGAATGCATAATATTAACATTAGTATAATTCATTTATTTGGCTTTTTTTATAATATAGATAACAATAGAACAAATAAATGGATTATATATATGTATCAGGTATCAGTGGTGGTCCCAGATACTTGCTGACACAGGTGTCCAAAATAAAGGGCGAACTAGGGGCAACTAGGGCCTACAGTCCCAAAGATAAAAATACATAGTACTTTCCCCTCTCCCTCCAACACCTGCTGATGCTGCCACTGGAAAGGCGTAATTATGTTTTTTATTTAATATTCCATTATAAGTTTGTCTGCATATGCTAGACTTGTTATCCAATGCCGTATGAGTATCGGATTAAGAATATTATTGCTTATATTACATTTACCTGTAATTGAAGATCAGCTCCAATTAAGGACCACTTTCCTGTAGCTCTTGATGAATACCTAGCTTTTATATTACGCTTTTACTGAACCCAAAGCTGCTGAACACAAACAACACCTTGGCTTGGGATTTATCAATGTCAGCTTAACAAAGGTCCCAAGTCAAAAAATTTAAGATGTCCCTAAACAAATATCTTAAGCTGATTTATCAAACCATTTTAACAAAATCTTAGCTTAAAAATAGTCTTAGATGGTACATGCATACAATAGACTTTTTAATTTTAAGCTAAGAAATATTGATAAATCTGAATTAAGCTAAGAAATGGACTGAAGACAAATTTATGTTGATTTCTAGTTTGATATTAACCGGACCCAGGGAACCCTGTATTTCTCAATGGATTTTGATGATTTATAAGATTTTGATTTACTGAATTATTTATACATAATTCTTTGACAGCTCTGTGATGGCAGGTGATTTAAAGTGAAATATGAATATTTATATCAAAATGGCATTAAAATCTTCCAACAATAACTTGCTCTTTATTTTTTACAAGATAATTCAAAAACATGTCAGCTGAAATATCTGGTAATCGAGTGACTGTTACTAGAACTCAGAAAGTTAGCAACCTGTTTGTCTACTTAAAAAAAATGCTGAATTACAAAAAAGGCTTGCATTTTATGTGACGTTAAAATCAGAAATTAAATCCAACATTCAAACGTAATGAATACTAAATCTTAGTTACCAAACAGTTGCTATAAATAGCTGCCTGATACATAATCATTAGGATTTAGTTGCGTAACTGCAGTGCAAGGTAGACAGCTAAGCTTTAGCAAGCTCAAGTTTGATTTGCGGTGTCTGTTACATTTATCTCACCATTAGACTAATTTCACATAATTGAATGCCAGCAACATTGTAAGAACTGTGTGTTCAAGTGAAGGTAATCTGTGGGATTTATGGCAACTTTGGTATATATTTATTCATTTCTTTTCCTTCACATTTTATCAGCAAGTTAACAGTTTAAGTTTGACAAACAAAAAGAAGCCCATGGGCTTCTTCTCAAGATGGGCTTCTTTTTGAGGCTAATTTTGCAAACTAAGGAGAGAGGCTTCAATTCGAGATGCGCTTCTTCTCGAGATTAAGCCAACTGGGCTTCACTTCGAGGTTTTACGGTATGTATCATTGAGTAGGGATGTCTATACACATAAGGTCATAGTGTCTGCATACCCAACCTCATCCAATTATGCATCAAGGTGTCTCAAAGAAGGTAAATGACTATATAATTCTTGTACTATATGCAGCACCGAATATACCGTAATGGAATATGTAAAATTATATTGTGATGAACTTACAGTGCACATATCCAGGACTGGTCGTAATCCATGCCGCCACCTTCAGTCACGCTAGTTGACTGTATCGTCTTTGATAATTTATGCACTGAAAATAAAAAATAAAATAGGCAACAAATTGATTATAGCTAGTATAGTCAACAAAAGGTATACATGGTACTGTGGCTTTGAATTTCAGGATCATGGTTCAGAGTACGTGACACAAGCTATTGAGTACACATTTTTTGCTCTTTTACAGATTACAGTAGTGAGAGATGTTGGCTCAGCAGTTGTGGTTCTTTATATTGAGATCAAAGGTGGGAACCACTGATCTCTACTATAATAGCTGGATTGCTCATCGGCGAATCCTTGTAGGAGGGCCTAAGTGACGTACCAGTTTAGACAAGTTTCTTTTGGTGTTTGTTTAAATTATTGTTAAACACAATGATTCCTGCAATACTTTTCAACAATAAATTAAAATTCAAAGTAAGATTTTTTTCCCAAATCATTACGTTAAATTTAAATTTCTTATTAAAAAGTTTTGCAAGAATCGTTATTTTTAACAATAACTAAAACAAATGCCAAAAGAAACTTGTCTAAACTGATACGTCACTTAGGCCCTCAGACATGGCATCGTTGGCCTCACTAAAACCAGCCAATGAGCAATCCAGCTACAGTGTTATAGTAGAGATCAGTGGTAGGAACCCTTAGCGTTTCACATCCTTGGTCAAGGCACTTTGCCTACATTTATCTCAACCCATGAGTATTATGCGAACTGTTAAGTATCGATGCTATTAGCATTAAATGTATTTATGTGCAATGTAGCACGATAGGTATTACTCCATAGGAAACAGAGATTGCTTTACTTTGTTATGGCTTGCCAGTTATGGATCCATTGACCTGGGTAAATATTTTGGGTCACTTTTTTTCAATACTGCCCTTAACACAATCAATCATCACTACACAACATACAGTAAACTGCCGCTACACAACTATTTAAATAACCCTGTTACTATGCAATATATTGACCCCTTAGTATGTGCCATATTTATCTATCTATTTCACTTTCTATTGACAATTAAGCAACATACTGTAAAGTTATTTCAGGCAATGCTGGAAAATAATGACTCTTAATAACTTTTATTGTCTTTACAACAGTTCAAGTCATAATTACCCTCAGGTCTTTATTTTCCAACATTGCTCTTAAAATTTTAGAATAAATATGCTTATCTACTTCTCAAGTATGCACACACACGAAAGAAACCTTTTATCATGGTTAATGGTAATTTTCTTTTATAATCTTTGTAGCAGCTAATCTTTTGGTATTAAACTTCAGAACATTTAATCATACAAACAGAATTTTTTGGCATTGTGTAATGAAATTAATTACAACTCTCATTACAATTATAACCATATTATTCATAACCATTAAATTTTGTAATCTAAAATTATTATTTCTGGGTTTTAATTATTCTAATTAACAAGTCATTAAATAGTAGAGTACATCTTACCTGATGTTATAAAAAGTAGGGAACAGCAGAACATTTAATCATACAAACAGAATTTTTTGGCATTGTGTAATGAAATTAATTATAATTCTCATTACAATTATAACCATATTCATAACCATTAAATATTGTAATCTAAAATTATTATTTCTGGGCTTTAATTAATCTAATTAACAATAGTCATTAAATAGTAGAGAGTACATCTTACCTGATGTTATAAAAAGTAGGGATGTTTCTACTGACGTAAACAGATTGATTATTTTAAGCAGTTGTAATTTGGTGCATAAACTGTGTCTTTGTTTCTAGTGAATTTCAATTTAAAAGGTTATCAACAGAAAGCTTATCAAGAACAGAGTTCAAACAGTGAAAGTTTGAAACACATATATATATATATATATATATATTTTTTTTTTTTATTTCATTTCATTTTTGTCGTTATTAAAAATTTGGAATTAGATATTGGTTGTGACGTTCAGTAGCCCATAGAGGGACACGAGTACCACATGTTCTCTATCGTGCCGAACTCTTATACAGCCTACAGGGGTTACTTGAGTTCTCAACAATCGGCTTCAATTAATATCCGACGCTACCGGAACTGAACCGGGATCTTCAGCCAAAACATTTCCTCCCAGCCAAATGCCCAACTTGATGATGCGTAAATTTCTATCAATAAAAATTTACTTTAACATCCAGAAATTGATCATGTTAAATCGTTATACTTCTTTGTTCCAGACAGAGGCACTTATTAAATTTGGCCTTCAATTTATCTTCACCAGACAATGAATGGTTGTTTATCACAATAATGTCAAAATGTCTCTGTCTCTTTTCGGCGTTACTGTCTTTTTGTTTTATGTCTGTAGAAATAGATGTGTTTTTTTTGTTTTTTTCAAATCGTTATTCAACTGTACTGTGGCCTTGAATTGAGTTGTTAACAACAAGACATTATTACTGACGATACTGATTAATCCATCATGCAAAAAAAATAGAATCTTTAATGAAAAATATAAAATTTTTTATTAATATGAGCACATAATCAAAGATTTATTGCTAGGGTGATGACAAACCAATAAAAATAAAAACAATAATAAATTAAATAGTTCAAAGGTAATAAAAAGAAAATTGAACACACAGGATTTGAATGTGGTTCCTACAAACTCCACAAGCCTTGGTTTTCTTAAAATCAATACACTGTCGCTACAATGTTTCAGTGCCATTGACGTACTGTGTAGCAGTCCCTGACACAATCGGAAGCCTCCCCAATTCGACCAAACAATCAGCATCACCGAAACTGATTACAGGCTTTTTAAAGTTCTGACCACACTATCAAATTTTCTTAGACAAAAACTGTTGTATGCCCATGTATAGTCAAGATGTGCCAATATAAGGTCATGATATGCCTATATAAGGTCATGACATGATGTCATCCTGACCATATATAGGCATGTCACATTTTTTTTTTTTTTTTTATCAAATAAGACTTGATAGTCTAGACAGGGCTTTATAGGGTGTCAAGCAACAAAATATCATTATTTAGAATACAGTATGAATATTATTTATTAAAATTGTACACCACCATTTGCGACAAGGATGCTCAACAGATTTATTTGTTCTTTTTGCAGTTGCAACTGATGGATTAGTGTTGCCAGCAGGCCTGGAAAAAATTTTTGTGGATCCGAACACGAAAATTGTCTTGATAAAAAACCTCCAGCACCAAATATTATCTGTACACAAATTTTAGCCCTAGTTACTAGCTGGTCTTAATTTGTTTTAATGTTTCAATTTTGGTAATATTCTTTTCCATTCCATTCTTTTATTGAGATAGTATTGGCAGGAATAAACTTACAGTGTGCAATCTCTTTGATGGCCTATAATTTTCCCTCCGGCTTATCATTACTCTGTACTTTTAATATTTTGTTGGCAAATTATTGATTTCTGTTGCATTTTAATGATGATGTAAGATGGATTCGATTTCAATTCAGCTGTAAAAATCTCTCTAACCAGGAGTATAAAGTGGGTATTTTTAATATTTTGTTGGCAAATTATTGATTTCTGTTGCATTTTAATGATGATGCAAGATGAATTCGATTTCAATTCAGCTATAAAAAAAACCCTTTCTAACCAGGAGTATAAAGTGGGTACGAGGTTCAAGTGCCAATGCACAGATTGGTTTCACGCGTTAACAGAATATTTCCCGAGGGAGCTGAGTATGTGCGTTACAGTCAACGTTCCAATGACTAGGAGAAATTACGTGAAGCGCTCCGAAACTTATAGAATGTTAAACATATATCGGCATAGTATTATTATTTATTATGGAATAAATTATAAGAATTATAACTATTTGAAGACATCTCATTGGCACAGGTGCTTGGATGTAAAATAACTACAAACCACTCACTTGGGCTGCATAATGACACTGAATTATGTAATTTCCATCTAGTAATTAGGTGTTAATAGCTAGCTAAAAAAGAATGTAATGACAATTGAATTAATGCAGAATGACTTTGCTAACCAGAATCCTGTGTGAACAATGCGGACTTGGCTTCCTTGACAATATCGTCCGTCCCTTCACGGCCGTTCAGAATCTTTTTGAGTAATTTAACAAAGATATGTTCCATGCTAGTTTCGTTCATGTCCAAGATCAATGTAGCCTGTTTAGCGAATGTCTCTATATCTTGTGCAGCACGCACCTCAGTCTGAAAATCTTTCATAGACAATCGCTGTAAAGATAGAAAAGTGAGAAAATGTTGATAAAAGGCACATGCTAAAAGGGACGTACTATAGGGCCACTCAAATCACCATATGATGGTGGGGGTGGAAATGGTACAGGGGAAATAATGGAAGAGGTGGTGGTAGTTATAAACAGTCAAGTTCATCAAAATACATGCTGCTTGCATGAAAATTGTTCATTATCAACTGATTAATTTTGCTTTTCTCTGCCTCTGTCATTTGTTTCATGTCATCCATGTCCTAAATTGATCGTTTTAATATTGAAATGCATGATTAGAAACATTGTTAGATGAGCCAAACATTTTTTTTTTTTCAACTGAGTTGAGGCATTTAAATGCTACATTTATTGGCAAACACTTGCTTCAGTTAAGGAGCTTAGGATATATATAGCTAGCCATGCAAAACAGATTGATAGCTCTTACTGATTGTCTGGACACATGAAGGTACTGTATTATTGAGATCACTTGAAAAAGCTCTGCGCATGCAGCGCTATGCAAATGAGCCAAGAGCAAAGCTGCCGCAGCGCGTGAAGGACATTTGCGCGATGCCTATGAAGTCTAATTTGTTCCCTACCACCAAATGCTCAGCAGGCTTAGTCTAACAAAATATTGAACATGGTGAAATGGAAACCACCTTCTTTTCTCAATCTGCACTACCTACAGTCAATCACCATGTCTGTGCAATCGTTTATATTTTGAAGCTAATACATTTATCTTTCATGAAATACCAAACATATCAATATTTCTACATTTATCTTTCATGAAATACCAAACATATCAATATTTCTACAAAAAAAAAAGAGTTTCGAATTTAATGAAACATTTACATGAGCTTTGAAAATATGGTATATTTCAACTTGAATTTCCATAAATTAGATAGAGCCCGATAATTCTAATTTTGACAGATATTAATTAAGGAATGATTGAGGATTATAATAAACTAAGACATTTTAGTGTGAACGAGTGTGGATTATTTGAAAATTCAATCCAAAATCAGAGTAATTTATGTTAAATCCCTTCCAAATGTAATGCCTTCTAAATGTGTAATGTAACAGGATGCCACCACTAATTCTTTGTAACTCTTCTGACCCGGTCACTCTCCAAGCTAAATTAGATTCTTATTTAAATATAATAATAAAAAAATAATATTTAAATTGCAACTTGGTTTAATAATAATAAGCCAACATTAAAGGAACTAAAGGAACAAGTAGCCAAACAAATAACAATCTAGTCATCCCAACTTGGAATAATAGTCAAGGAAAATAGACTTTTCCTTACCGGGCAACAAAAATGTGGAATGAACTTCCTAATGAATTAAAAATTAACTATCAAAATATGTTGTTACATTCATTCCAAAACAATACTACTACATAAATGTTTTTTCATTGACTCTTTTCTTGCTTGATTTTTATTTTTTGTGCATTTTTATATATTTACATTCTTTTCATTTTTTGTTAAACAATTCTTTATATTGCATATATTTTTGTTATGTTTAAACTGTACCCCAGTGTAAAAGTACTGAAAGTGCTACAGTATAAAGAAAGAATAAATAAAATTAATATTTTTCAGTTTTACGCTGCCTCAGCTTTATAGACAAACCAATCAGTCTTTAGAAAAAATTATAATGAACACAGAAGTAATTACAATGGAAATATTTTGTGGAATCTGTTCCTGAGTCTGAAAAAATCGTATCACGGGAACATTGTCAATTTTAAAGATATATAATGAGTTATCAAACGCTTTATCACACAGCTGCCGTGTTGAATCGTATAAATGCATGTCGTTGCCAAGTTACTGCTAACAAAAACAATGTTAATAAGACAATACTCTGACGCAATCCAAAGACGGGAAACACATTGGTTTGCCGCGTCAAAGTGATCTCCTACTCAATAATACCTCCATGGTTCAAGTAAGCAAAAGGAGCCTTCGTTAGCAGAGCACAAACATTGCACATAGGCCTACAATACAACCATGTAATCCTTTATTATTTAATTATATTACTCATTATATTGTTAAGATGTGTCTGTATATATATGTGAAAATTTGTGTGTGATATGACATCAAGTGCATATTTGGGCAAATTACACATATTTGCTTCGTAAGGCCAAGTAAAAAAAAAAATGGTTTCTCATCCTAATATTTTAAAATAAGGAGAATGAGAGCACTTTTTTTCCTCTCCGAGATGGCAAATCCAAGATGGTCGATGAGAAACAGCTACTACTCTATCACTTTTAAATAGTAGACACATTGAAAGCAAATGAAAGAAGCATTAGACATGATTCACACCATAATATATCCCCAACCACGAACAAATGAGAGAAGAATTTGACAAATGTGAGTTAGCGTAGATTTAGTAAAGCAAAAGGAAATTTTTTTTAAATAAAATAAAAATTGGTGGGGCAGAGGAAATGGGAAATGGATATATTTTATTTGGCCTAAAACTTGATAGTGTATAGAAAACATTACATCACAGAGGAATACGTATGGCGGTGTTAGAAAAAATGAAAAATATAAGAGAGACGCATTGCTCCGAGAATAACCTTTGATGTAATTTACGACATAGCTTTTATAATTGCAGTGGATTCCAGCTTGCATCACACCTGATGAAGCCAGCATCAACTGCTAGCAAATGCTTGCACAATAAATTACATTGAAGGTTAGTACTCTTTAATTTTTTTCAAGAAACACAAGCTAATTTCCCTTGTCAGCACTTCATATCATTCTGACAACATTCGAAATTACCAATGGAAATAATGTATCTCAGAAGACATAATTATAATACATCAAAGGTTATATTTACAGCGTGTCCTACTACTACAAATGGCAGTGAGAGCAGTACATTTAGTACTGCTATTATCGGTATTTCTTTTTTTTTTAAATTTATTCAAATTATGTGTTACTCAATCCCCTCTGTAAGCAAAAAATTATGAAATGAAATGCCAATGTACATTTGTGAAATTAAACATAACTTTTTCCACACCAAATTCAAAGAATTTTTACTACAATAAAAGGTTGTAACGTCGATTTCTATTTCGATATTTCTCTATGTCATGTTTTTACCTTATGATTATTACTATTTTTATTACTATTAATGAAGATGTTTTAATTTATATATTAATTTGTTTTCTACAGGATGTTGAAACTAATGCATGTAGTTGCCTCATTTCAACCTTATTTTTATCTAAATTATATATTATTTTCATTGTAAATGCTGGGGCAGATGTACGATTTGGCGGTAGGGTGTGTGGGAAAATTCACACCACCTCAGCCATGTTTGGTTCTGAGGTGAGAAAACTTTTAGAATAGGGACCTCAAGATGCAATACAACAATTATTTTTCTTAATACAATTTAGGGGTGTGCGATCGCATTGTCTTCATCCTCCTACAACCACGCCGGAAATATGAAAAAAAAAAATGTATTTGGATAATAGAGAGTCATATCTTTTTATAGCATTCCTCCTCCTTGCATTATTAGTAAATCAAATGGAAGGTTTGTTGACAAAAGTACTCTAAGTGCAATGAGATTTAGAGTTGGCACCTGGCAGACAACCTTACCTCATGTTGACAGTACATTAACGTCACTTCTTCGTTGTCAGTATCTAAAATGATAAAACAAATGAAATGTTAAAAGAAACCACAGGGGGCTGATAAGTTGAGGGGAATTGCACTTAATGAGGCGATGGAGCATGATATTAAACGCTCAGCTCTGAAACATGCTGGATTGGACAATGTATTGAATAGTTTACAAATTGTGATTTGACAAATTTTTGTTTTTATCTCCACTGTCTCTCTTTCTATCGGTCTGTCTTCTGTCTTAGCAAGATTGCGCAATACTAAAGAATGGATCATCATGTAATTTCAAGCGGAATGGTACATAACAATCAAAGAAAAGCACCAAAAGGTCATGGTCAAGGTCACAGAAACTCGATTTTTTACCCTCGCACATTAAAAAAAAAAATAATGGAATTGCACCTCGCATAAGGCAGCACTCGAGAAAACAATGTGCCTGAATACGGCGGGTGGTTCTATTATTTTCTTGAGGGTAGACAGCAGTTTTGACCATCATAAACCATGGGCTCTTTTGAAAAAAATAAAATAAAAATAAATAATTAATAGCCCAAAATGCCAAAAATTAATAGCCAAAAATTTGTGGGAGAATACCCCCAGACCTCCTAGGGCAGTGTTGTCTCGATCTGCCCCAATTTTGGTCCCCATATACGGCCTGCATATTGTAGTGCTGTATTCAGGCACAGGGCGGAGATATGCCCTCTATGGATCAAGTTTTTGTATGGCATTGGTATCAAAATATGCAAGATTTGATTTAATTCAGCATTACAGTAGAATGTGCCAGTATTGTATATTTTAGTACTAAGAAGCCGCAACACTTTCAATCATAACTTTGGCAATTAGTAAGTCAATTCCAGTAACTGACCGTATCATTTTATAGCTGATAATGTGGAGAGTATGAATATATTAGAAAAGTCTATTTTCTTTCTTTTTTTTTTGTCACTGATGTTGGTTCTGGTATGGCAAGCCCCATATGAACATCAAAATGTAAAACAAACACAAACTTAATCACTCATATAAAAATAGAGGAAAAATGGGAAAAAGGAGAGGAAAGTATTTTATATAAAGCTTATCAAAAGAACATAGAAAGAAAAATTCCCAGAGTGTACGACACGATAGTGGTAAGAGCAAGATTTTGTGTGAAGACTTCGTATAATCTAGGACAGTACGCTAATTATTTATGACGTGTTATTATTACACTTCGGGCAAGAATAGGAATAGTGTTCTAATTAGGTTTACGACAACGTGACAATGCACTTGTACACTATAGCATCATGAATCAATACAGCATCGCAGTATACAGTAGCTTGCACGCAACAAATGCATACATGTGTGTTAGCTTGTTTCTGATTGGTTAGAAGAATATTGTCTGTGAAGAAGAAATTCCAAGTTCATTTCACATATTAAATAAACTTTACTAATTTTACATAAAAATACAAATTAGATACATTATAAAAAATATCTGTGCTATTTAATCACTTTTCTGACCACACTATCAAATTTTCTGTGATTTTTTTTTTCTGATCTGTAGAAGTAAATTTTATATATTTTGTGCTGCTCTTTGTTCAATTGATTGTTATTTTTGCCATTTGTGTGTAATTTTTTATTTCTTGTGTTTTTCAATTTTGTTCAGCCCTTTGGTCTTCGCGCAAGAGCGCTAAATAAATCCATAATAATATCTGTGATTTATGGTTAAAAAAATATATGGTTATAAAATGATAAATCACATCCATATATGGATAATTCACCAACATGTCAAGGGCTAGAAAAAGTGCACGACCGGCGGTCGGGGGAATTAGACCTTTAACCCGGAGGCATTTTAGAATTTTAGTTTTTATACATTACAATTTAATGCATAATTACAGTAAATTTAATATTTTTGTTTCCTCCAAACCACTAAATTTACTACTGTTTCCCTATAATAGTGTAAAGATAACATTTGTTCCTGGAGACATTTCATCAAGATCATTTTCATGGTCGGAGGCACAAAAATATTTTTTCCAGTCCTGAACATGTCAATACTCATCGGAGTATTAAATTAGTACATTTTTCATATTCATAAACTGTAAGCGATGCACTACTTAGCATCCATCATTAACTCATCTGCACTCCCAGCCTCAGAAAAATGAATTAATTTTTCTTATGTTAGACTTGTATTGATTTATAATTCATAATCTAATATTATATTGCTAGTTTTAATTTACATCTACATGTTTTTATTACCTTTTTATATATTGTACACTACATACTATTTACATAATTTAAAATGTTCACATAAAATTTTAACTTGTATTCTAAATTACTATAAAAAATTTGTTATTCAATTTTATATACATTCCATTTCACGACCTCAAAGTTATACTGCTACTGTTAAGGTTCCGTCCACTCCTTCCTAGTAAATTTAATCTGACAATATCAGTGACTTATCCATGTATGGGCATGTTGATATTAGATTTGATTTTTTATTTATTCGGTGTAAACACCAAGGATAGCCCACGAAAGTCTAGTAGACTTATTTCCAGTGGGGTCCTTCTAGTGGTGATTGGGCAGTGCACCAGGAGAAAATTGCCTACTCTTTTCCAAAGAGTGTACTGCATTAATGTGCACATGGACCATAAATGCACACACGACCAATGGCTTAAATGTCTTATCTGAAAGACGGTGCGCTATTGCAATTTGTATTTCAGCCCTCCCGCTGAAAATCAACAAGGGGCAGTGATAGGAATTGAACCAGGAACTTAAAGATCTCCACGGTTCAGCGCAAACACAGTGGCTACCACCAGATTAGCTGACTGAGCTAAGCTGCTCTCTCAATCACACCCATATATAGACATGATGATGTCACATCACAGGAATTTGTTGTAAAAGTTGACAGTGTGGAAAATGCTTTACATTGGGTGGATAAACAAGTTGTATGAAGTAGGAAGTTGGTGAATTTTCACCTGATTTTCTCTACCTATGTTGGGAGCTGAATTTCAATTTTTAAAATAAAAAGGTATTTTTTTACTCTATCGATTTTAAAACTTGTATTGTCATCCAACAGTGAGCAGCTTTCTACATACAGGATATACCATACTAGGTGGTTTACTGTTTGTTGAAAAAACTATTTCCGTGTGCATTCAAGCATAACATGTGCCTGTGTGAATGCACTCATGAGTATGCAAATTACTGTCATCCAAGTGAGGATGTTACAATTTCCTCAAAAGATACCAGTACATGGTAATCACCAAGTACTTACTTACGATATCATGTTTTCAACTTGAGCAGATTTCATAATTTTCCCTTGCGTGTGCGATTATTTTCGTACAAATTAATCTTCGATGTTCAGTGGTGGATCCAGAAATGTGGAATGGGAATCCCATACTGTATGTTTGTATTCATTATTACTAAGTAAAAAATGGCTTGATGGATGCCAAAATTCTCAGTGTGGCCTTTATAGCACAAAAAGAAAAAAAATATATAAGCCCACACAAAAATGTTAGCATTTTTCAATTAATGATACTACCACAACACCGATGAATTTCAGCCCTGTTTTCAATATTGTTTACAAACAAAAAAAAAAATTAGACCTATGCATACAGGCCTAGAAGTATAAATTCCTTAATGACCCTGACTTCTCCTTGATTGAACCACACAAAATATAAAATATATATACTAGTCCTGACCAGATTATCACATTGTATTTGACAAGAACATGTGACATGACTAAATATGGTCATGATGACATCCACATCATGACTATATACAGCATTCAACTGTGTTAATCCTGTCAGCATTTTCCTTCAGGATCCCTGACCACATCACAATCCCATCACGCAATCACTATCTGGAAACAATTTTCGCTTTTCAAAGAAATCTGTGATGAATTCCAAAAATATTCCTGTACTTGATTAATATTACAAATCTCTAATAAACATGATGTATCTATATATTCATTTCTAAACATTACTTTAGATGCTACAGGTGTACATTTTGCAACACTTTTGTAAACTTAGATCATTTGCAGTTTACAACTGGGATTTTTTAGGTCATTTTATTCCTGGATTAATTTTTCTTTTTTAAATAGAAATTATTCAGCTTTTCCAAAAATCTAAAATATTTTTGTTTAAATAAATATATATATATGAAATATTTAATAACCTATCTTGCTCTCAAATGTCCTGCTATATATTTCTTGTTTTTTTTTTAGCCAAAAAAAAAAAAAAATGTAAAAAATACCTGACGAAGAATTAGTGTTGTCAAAGAATTCTGGTTTAGTCCTCAGCTGTTATCCAACATTTAAATCAAAGTTGAATCTTAAATCCAGTCATTATTTATGAAGCTACCAGGTTTCTGTTTTCAGTGGATTAATTTTGAATTTAAATAATAAAAAAAATCCAATACTCTCAAGATTATAATCCTTATACAGTATACAGGTGAAAATATCCCCCGCCGGACACCATCCCGATATTTCTGAGTCAAGGTTTCGGGGCCTTAATGGTCATACTGCAGAATAAAATATTGCATCCATAGTAAATATAATATATAATATTATGAATTACTAGTATGGTTGATTGTAGTGTATTATTGTGTTATATACTGTATACAGACGCAGTGTCGGCAAAGCAGAAGCACATCGCAGGGTGTCGGGTGGCGGGGATCGTTTGTGTGAAATCCAGGGAATTCTGTGTATATTACGGTATTTTTAAGGTCTCATTATAGCAATCGACACAGTAGACCATTCTATATTATTAAGAAACTAAAACTTTATGGTGTAAGTAAATATACTCTTGATTGGTTCAAAAGCTATTTCAGTAATCGTGTTCAAATGATGTGTATTGATGGGGCTCTATCAAACACTAAAAAGGTTCAATGTGGAATACCACAAGGTTCTATTATTGGTCCTCTTGCATTTCTTATGCTATGACCTCCCAAATATTGTATCACAGTGTAAAGTTAGCATATATGCTCAATCAATGACACCAACGAATGTATTAATAGTGATTTAGAATCTGTATACAAGTGTCTCTCATGCAAAAAACTTAGCTTAAAT